AATTCCTCGTATCCTTGATCCTCGTACACGTAATAAATTCCTCGTACACTTAATCCAAGGGCGTGTCCAGTGGGGCTGCTAGAGCCCCCCCCCCCCCCCCCCCCCCCCCGAAATAGGGAAAAGGGGGAAAAAATTAGTAGAAGAATGGTCGAAAAAGTTTTTTTCGACCATTTTCGCCTGCGGCGCTATAAATGGAATACTTGTGGACCGAAGATTGCGACTGCGTATTTTAAATTAAAATTGCGACTGCGGAAAATTGTGGACTCTCAAAACTGGGTACTTTATGGATATGTCACCCCCCCTCCTATTTTGAGTCTCAGAGTTTTCCTTAAACGTAGAAAATGGTCAGAGATTATTCTCTTCTCCATGTCAATCATTTTTGTTTGTTCAAGCAAAATGAGTGAAATGTAAGTACAAAATATGTGAAAAGGCAAAATAAACAAGCAAAATACTTGAAAAATAAAAAAATGATTGACATGGAGAAGAAAATAATCTCTGACCATTTTCTACGTTTAAGGAAAACTCTAAGACTCAAAATAGGAGGGGGGTGACATATCCATAAAGTACCCAAAACTGATTGAGTTTCAAAAGTTCAAATTATGACGGGATCCCGCGGAATATATACCATAACTCCCAGTAATCCAGCTTATCAATTAAAGCCAGTAAGTTCGAGATGTGAAGCAAAGTATGGAGGTAAAAATCCTTCATTTCAGCGCCGCAGGCGAAAATTTTTCGAATTTTGGAAGGCCAAGGAGCCAGATTTCATCCATTTTTGTCCACAAATCTGGTAAAAATATTAACGAGTCTTGTTCGAGTCGGGCCGACTTTTTCCGAGACAATTTTTTTCGGGCCTGTTTTTATCGAGTCGGGCCGGTACGAGTCACTTTCGGGCCTAACTTTATCGAGTCGGGCCGTTTCGAGTCTTTTTCGGGCCCAAATTTATCGAGTCGGGCCGGTACGAGACTTTTTCGGGCCAAACATCGAGGCATGACTCGATCTTTCGGTCCGAGTCGGTCCATTTTGGCAACCCTATTTTTAACAGCAAAAATATTTTGATTTTAGGATGGAAAAAATACAATTAGAACATAAATAGGAAGGAAGTATTTTTTCTTGAAAAAGATTAATTATTTTGTCGTTTTTGACTGTTTATCTCTTCAAAACTAATTTGTTATTTAATTTAAAATATAAAAATAATTTTCTTTTTATTTTTTAATTAATATCCAAAAAATGATTAAAAATAATTACAAAAAATTAAAAAACAAAAAATAGTCAAAATTAATTTCTTCCTGATTTTATTTGATATTATTCATTTGGTGAAAAAGGTGCTGAGTCGAACAGTACAACTCTTTTTCGCTGGAGATGCCTTTGGACCAAAATAGCTCGAAATAGTCAAAAACCATAGGTGGGAGTCTAATCCTTCTATATCCCTCCATATGGACTCAACTGACTCTCGCTATAATCCAGTTAATCCTAAATACCCCTTGATTCTAAATATCCCTTTGATCTACTTTTCTCTTTTATCATTACAGACAAGAATTTTTGAAATTTTGGAAGGCCAATTAGCTATTTTTATACTATTTTTATATCTGAACCTGATCGGATCCAGATTTTTTGACGCGACATGTACCGGATTTTCCGGATAAAAATTCCGATAATCCGGGAAATCAAGATCCCTCTTCGTTAAACAAGCTCTCCGATAATTGGGACACATTCCCCATTGTTAAAATAACATGCCGTGGTTGAAACAAACTTCCGGAACAATGTTCCACACTGCTTGAACAACCCTCCAGATTGATGGAATAACCTTCCCTAATATTGAAACAACTTTCCCGCTGTTGGATCAACCCCTTATTGTGGAAAACAAATAGAACTAACAAGATCCCTCCGCCAAAATTTATGCACAATAAAAGGGAAACAAAAAATAGTTGTGGGTCTTTTGTCTGTGGGTATTCTGTCCTTGTGGGTCTTCTGTCTGTGGGTCTTTTGTCTGTGGGTCTTCTGTCCTTGGGTCTTCTGTCTGTGGGTTTTTGCGTCGACACGTGGGCGTTTATTGGAGCCGGGCTTCTATTTGAACATTTACGGTATATTTATTTAAAAATTAATTATTAAAATAATTATTCTACATAATATGCTTCAATTGTTTAAATTAATTAAAAAATATAATAAAATCCCGAAAAAATTTTTATCTTTTAAAAATGCTTACAAATGAAAGATAAAATAATTTAAAAAATAATTTAAAATAAAAATAAATAAAATTAAAGTTAAAGAATTTACTTGTTTTTTTGGGAAGATTATAATTAGATGTCGAACCAGGGCCGGATCCAGTTGTATCTGGGTTTTTTGATAAAACCCGGATTTTCTGGATATTGTAGATTTTGATCCGGAAAGTCCTATCCGATAAAAATTTTTATTGAAATCCGGAAACCGGATCCGGAATTTTGGAAATCTCGAACTTATAATAAAAAGAAAAAAATTTTAAAAATCAATTTAATCTTGTTGTTTTTTCAAGTCACGGGGCAGAGTAGAGACGTGCGAGACCGAAAATTTTCCAAGACCAAGACTACAAGACTACTACAAGACTACCAAGACTACTACTACCAAGACTACAAACCAAGACTACACCCCAAGACCAAGACCCAAGACCAAGACTACACCCCAAGACCAAGACCCAAGACCAAAACCAAGAGCGAAAAAAACCCAAGAAAATTCTTGGAAAAAAGTCCAAGACCAAGAGTCTCGCACGTCTCTAGGGTAGAGGCAATCATTTCAAATAAAAAAATTTTTCAGTAAAAACTCAAATCATCCATACTATAATTTAATTGTTCATAATCATCATTATAATCATGGATTATTTCCACTACTTTCTCCTTTTTCAAAATTTATAGTATTTCGACAAAATGGACATTTAAAACTATTTAAATGTTTTGTACTAATTTGATTCGTATTTACCCAAGTAATTAAACAAACTTGATGAAGATAATGTCCACAATTAAGCTTAATAATTTGTTGACCAATTTTATTTTCTGCTTCACAGAAACATAATTTTTTGTCTTTAGGAATTTGATCTTTATTTTGATAAACAAAACTATTTATAATAATATCTCTAATAATAGTTTCACGTGCGTTTTTCTTAAAATAAATTAATTATTTCAAAAAAATTTAATTCATGTAGTTTAGAGGTCGGTGCGAGACGGGGTCCTGTCCAGCAATCCCGCATTTTTTCGATTTGCGGGACTTATTCCGCAAATACGATTTACCGACCTCTAATTAAGTTTATCATTACCCCCGCTGTATTTTTGGGGAAATCCTCGCTACGGAGTAAAATTAAAAACAATTCTATTTACCACTATCCCTCACCCTTCCCATTACTGAAATAATTTTTTATTGTAAGACAGAATCGAATCCCGAAGGTAATACTGGGTTAATTATATATTTTGTATCCAGGTTCAATGTCCAATTTTATTTCCAATATTTTCTATGTGACAAGCAATTTATCCCTCCCACTTTACAACTATTTACTTCCTTTGTTCTCACTTACAGTTAGTTCAGTTGCTAGCTTTCCCTTTTATTCTATTATGTTTTAGTTAACTTATATATTATTGTTTTTATTTTCCTAGTTTGTAAATAAAACTTTTTATTACTTCGGTGTGTTTCGGTGTTGGGAAGAATCCGAAGGACTTGATCAACACTAAGGAGCTTCTAGGAATGTCCCTATCACATCTTCCCCGTTACAATATCCCTTAACATCTGGGTATGGTTCAGCCGCTTCGGCGCAGAGTATAAATAATTAAGGAGAAAGAACACCCACCAGGGATCCCATTTACTTTATTAAATTATTATTTTAATTTTTTTTCTTATCTAAAAATTTAATTAAAAAATTTACATCAAAATTTGTATTTATTATTTCTTTAATATGTTCCATTTCAGAATATACACTTTGAAAATAAGTTTGTAGATAATTAGATGCTTGATCAGTATTCATTGATCTTATAGCATCTCTAAGTTGTTGATGATTACCTCTAATTCCAGCTGATTTCATAGCTCTAACAAGAAGTTTTTTATCCTATAATTTAAATAAAAAAATTTTTTTTAAAGATAATAATTTGTTAAATAATTTTGGCTTAGGTTAATGACTAGGGTGCGGCAAAACATGCAAATGCATATTTTGTATGCGGATATGCCATGAGCTGAAACGCTCGAAAATGGTGTTTTTATGTCCGTACGAACATTAGGGACCGAGATCTTACAGCATATTTTTGCATATTTCAGTACTTCCGTGCATATTTGCATATTTGTGCATGTTTTGGCACCCTATTAATGACATTAAAAAATATTTTTTACATTTAATGCTCTTTTAAAGAGTTGACTTTGTTCATCATACATACTAAACATTTTATTTAAATCTTCATATAATATTTTATATCGGTCTCCAATAGATTTATCCCCATATGTATAAGACAAATCTACATATTCTTCATCGGTAAATGCAGCATTTAAATGTTTATTTAAACAAATAAATAAAATAAAAATAAATAAAAGTTTTAATTTAAATAATTTAAACATTTTTTTAAATTTAATTTTTGAATGAATTTAATTTTTAAATTAATTTAATTAAAATTAACTAATTTTGAAGCTTATTTTATATTAAAATTTTTGGAAATTAAAAAAAAATTTTTTTAATTTTTTAAAATTTTCTATCATGCGCAAGAAGCCCTGCAAGAGGCCCTGCCCTTGCGTTTCCCCTTAAGCCCACCCACACATTTTTAAATTAATAAAAAATTTTTTAAATTGGCATTTCCATTTTTTAATGACTCGAGACTTGATTAAATTAATTTTTAAATCTCGGAAAAAAACCCCGAAAAAATTTTTATAAAAAAATATTAGTTAATTAAAAATATATTTTTAATTGCCAAAATTAACTGTAAGGATAACCCAGCAGTATTTAAAACGCTTAGGCGGGGGTTAAACGATCTAAAAAGGAAGAGAAAGCATTTGTCGATGGCCCGGTAGCTCAGAGGTAGAGCTCCTTTTGTTGTGTGGAAGCGACTAGCAATCACTACGAGGAGGTCGCAGGTTCGAATCCTGCCCGTTGGCTATTGCAAACTCTTTCTTAACTTTTTTAGTCTAAAAAATTTAAATTTAATTTTAAAAAATTTTTAAAATTTTTCTAAAAATTTAAAGGTTTTATTCAGACCTGTGCATGGACACGGATATGGATACAAATAATATCAGGATGCCTGCGGATATCCGTCTGTATCCGCTGTAAATATCCGGATATGGATACCAAAATCCGTGTCCATGCACAGGTCTGGTTTTATTCTCTAAAAAAATAATAAATTAAATAATTAATCAAAAAAATTTAAATTTAACTTTAAAAAACCTCAAGAAATAAATTAGATAATTAAATTCTCAAAATAATTTTTTAATTTTAATTATTTAAATAAATAATTCTCGAGACTTTAATTTATATAATTTAAAAAATTTCTCGAATTAAATTTTTTGAGAAAAAAATTTTTTTTCACTGCTACTACTTCCGGCGCCTATCTCCCTCCCTGCTACTACCTCCCTGCTACCTACTTCCGGCGCCTTTCCATTGTTTTATTTAATTAAATTTTTTATTTTAATATCTTACTCCCACTCGTTTAACCTTTTAATTTATTTTATTAAATGCTCTTTCCTTTTATTTATTATTTTGCAAAAAAAATTATTAATTATTAACTATTTCCAATTTTTCTTTTAATTTTAAATCTCCTCATATTCACCGTATATCCTTTAATAACTACCCTGGGTAATTATTGTTTCAATCTATCACTGGAGGGGTAATAATTTGAATAAATAATAAAATAAAATATAAAAATAAATAATTAAATTTAATAGACATTTTATTTTAAATTTAATTTTTTTAAAAGAAATATTAAATTTTTATTTTAATTGAATTAAAGGAGGGATTTAAATAATAAATTTATTGTTGCCTGAGCAAATATATTTTTTTTAATTTTATTTTTTAATTTATTTAAAAATTATTTTTAAAGTTTGTATAGGTGTCCTTTTTTAATTTTTTTAAATTTTAGTTTTTTAATTTAGATAAAAAGTTTTTTAAATTTTTATAGACTTCCTTATTTTATTTAAATTTAAAGCTTTTTATGTTTATATAGCTTTAAATATATTAACTCAAAATTTAAAATATATTTTTTAAAGTGTCAAAAAAGATTACGTGGATTTGATTAAATTAAATTAAATTAATTTGGGAAGTGTTGGAAGAATCTTTTAAAGCCTATTCTTATATAGAGATAGTCAAAATAATTTTTATAGCTACAGCACATGGAGTTAGAATAATAATTAACCTCTGTGCAGAGTTGTTTCATGGATTTTGGGGAAAGGATATTTGCCCAAGTACCTTACCAGACCTCAATCCAATGAATCTTCAGTCTGGTATTTAATGGAGCAGAGACTCACCTGAACACGATACACGACAACAGAGGCACTTAAGACGGCATCAGAATATTCCTGAGCATCAATAACAGAAGAGGAGTGCGCGACCATAGAAGAAATCTTTCGGAAGCGTTTGGGTGCGTGTATCTCAGCGGCCGGATCTCATTTTGAAAATTTGTTATGAATATTTATTCACAAGATTCTTATAAACGTTTTGTATGTTAAAACTAATTTTTATTTTGATATAAAAGAAAATAAATCCATTTTGATTAATTCCGGGAACTTTTACGCACCCTGTATAAATAGTTAACACTAATATTTTGAAAGTTTTTATTTGTAAAATCTTAACTCAAGTTTATCTTTTTATCTCATAATGCCCCAATATCTCCATAGAATTATTTAAAAAAATTTGACAGATAAACTCCTCAAAATATATAAAATTTAGGGGTGCGTTTATAATTAGTTAACACACTTTATGCTATACTTTAGCTAACTCTTTCCAGATTACCGTACTCTATTAATTACCCTCCCTCAAATAATTAAATTACCCCTCCAGAGAGAGATCGAAACAATAATTACCCAGGGTAATTAATAGAGTATGTACGGTAAATAACGAGACAATAACACAAAAATTTATCAATATTAGTTAAATTCTAAATTAATTTTCTTAAGCATTTGATACAAAAATTAAGGGTTGTTTTCCACTAATTAATTGGTTATCTTCATTATTTCCTCTATTTTCTTCCCTATTATTTATTAAAATTTCTTTTTGTGATTGATTAAATTTTAATCTTCTTTGTTCTTGCTCTTGTTGTAATTGTCTTTCTTGTTCCTCCATAGCTAGTAATTCTGCTTTGAATTGCTCTGTTTGTTGTTCTTCTTGAGCTACTTTGATAAAATTATCGACAATAATTGTGATGGGTAGGGCTGGAAATTGAATTATTTTTTTGGGAATATTTTTTCAGGAAAATATTTAATCCGAATATTTTTTCTGTAAATAAATTAATTAAGAAATTAAAATTTTTCTTGGAAATTAATTAAAACTTAATATTCTTCCGTTACTTGAATAACACAGAATTTTTATTTATCCTCGATGTAAAATACCGTATTTCCTCTATTAGAATGCCATGGCATTCTATTTTTCAATCTGCTTTGAACTATAATTTTAATTTAGATAAAAAGAATTCGGGGGAAATATAAAGATTAGAAGGGGGGTCCATCTTTCGGGAACAAAATGTAAAGTCATTCCAAAAGATTAATTATCTATTTTTCAATCATCTTCAAAGGTGGCATTCTATTAGAGGTTGGAATTCTAATAGAGGAAATACGGTAAGTAATTTTCAGAACTTATTTGTTAGTGCATTTCCGTAAATAAAATAATAGCAATTAAAAATTAATAATCTTGTATTTACTGACCTAATACAAGCACTCCACTCATTATAGCGGCAGAAGCAATTATTTTACCCACTAAAAATTATTTTATTTTAAATTAAAAAATTTTTTTTATTAATAATTATATTTTTATTAATAAATTTAACAAATTTCTCCCTCTTTATAATTACTTGTAGTTGCTGGCACAACATCTCCATACCCGACAGTAGTCATTGTAACAATACACCACCTATATTTAAAATAATTTAAATATTAAATTTTAATTATTTCACCAATAAGCAGCTGGAATGCTGGTGAAGGGTGAACCTTTCTCGTCTTTCTACAATTAATTATTTAATTAAAATAATTTATTTAAAGAAATTTATGTTCAACTTTAATTAACAAATACCTCAAGAAAGTATATCATAGTTGAGAAAAAGACAACCCCAGTTAACAATACAATAGTCATCATTTGCAATTGTTTTTGACTCCTTTAGAAATTTAATCGTGATATTTTATTAAATATACGAATTTATTATTTTTCCAGAAATGAACAATAATTTATGATTGTTCGGAAAATAAATCAAAATTCCATAGCTTCGGAACTAGGGAAAAATCGTCTAAATATTTCTGTTGGTTAAAAAAAGGACTCTACATATTTAATAATTTTGCCTTTCCGATAATTAAATATATTTCATCTCATTCCTGAATTAATAAAATAAAACATCTGATCAGCTTTCAGAAAATAATAATTAGGATATCTTTCCCAGATTAAATCAAATTTTAGTATTTCCTCGAATATTTTCAGAATTATTTAAAATAATTTAAATTAAACACACCTTTGCAAAGTCATTCCAAAAGTCTGCAAACCAGAAGAGAACCGTCCAAGTTTAATTATTCTAATAACCCTTAATACCCTCAAAATACGTACAACCAAAAAAGCCCAACGCAAATCTCTCAACTTTTTGTCATCTACCCCCATTAAAGTCAACATAAGTTCTAAATAAAAGGGCATAATTGCCAGAAGGTCAACCTTCAAATTAAATTTAATTTTTAATTTTTAATTTATTTATTGAGCAACCAAATTGAGAGGTTTCAAAACAAATCTCAATTTTCTCGGTGCCGCAAAAAGCCTCAATAAATATTCTATTGTAAAGAAGGCTATACAAACACGCTCGGTAAATACAAATATTGGATGTTCGATCCTTATTGGTTCTATATCTTCTTGAATTATTTCTGTTCCGTTTGGAAGCATAATTGTCTGGTTTCCAGAAGAGACGTATTCGATAACCTTTTAAGAATAATTTAATAATTTTTAATATTTTCCCGTAAATTGTATTTCTTGTAATTATTTTTCAGAATTAAGTATTTATAATAAATCAAAATTTAGAGCATTTTTTGGATTCCCCCTCCCACCTAGTGATTCACCTGGAGCATCTAAAACGCTTAGGCGGGGGTTAAACGATCTAAAAGGATAAAAGAGAAAGCATGCCACGGTATCTCAGTGGTAGAGCCTTTGTATATGGTGAGGGAAAGCACCTAGCAATAACTGTCAGGAGATCGTAGGTTCGAATCATGCCCGGTGGCTAAACTTACGCTAAACTCTTTCTCTTGTTCGAGTCTTAGTTACTATTTCCATCTTCATGCCTATCATTAATTTTCCTCAAGAAATAATTTCCGGAAATAATGCAAATCAGAATATAAACGGCTCCATTGCTTCCGGTAGAAGCAAGTTTCTATTATAATTATTTATGGTTTACAGACCTGAAAATCAGGTATTGTTCCAAAACTTAAGCCAAGAACTGATATCATAACAAACATTGTTGAAGATAATTCGAAAACCTTTGCCTAAAAGCTTAACATAAAATATATTCCACTCAAAGTGACCTGCATAGACGACCCTGGTCTCTCCAAAAATGTCCACATTCTTCGTCTAAACTGCCCAAATCTCAATTTCTCAAAGCTTGTATCATCCACTTTATCCTCTTTACTTGACTCTAGAAGCCGTTCAAGTGGTGAAACCGAATCAGAACAGCAAGCGCCTTTAAATCAGAATTATTACCCAAAGAGGTGATTTATCTAATTAATTAACCAATATAGCTTGTTGGCACACGCCAAAATTCAAGTTCGGCACTAAATGCGGAAGGACATAATTCAGGGGGTTTGTGCACAACTCCATTAGCATAGTATTGAAAAACTGCTTCAAAAGCAAGTGGTGATCTCTTAATTTAGATTTTATTTTTTAAAATATTTTTCGGAATATACAACATAGTCCGGATAAAATAAACATAAAATAAATGATAAATCAAAATTTTTAACTGTCCGAAAACAAAAAAAAGATAATGATTTTACTTACCTATAACCTGTATTAATTGCCCTCCCTCAAATAATTATCTCACTTCCATTAATTACTCCATTCAGCATAGTATGGGGTATGCTGAATCGTATAACCTCTTATAACTACCCTACCTTGATTAATTACTCCCTCCAGCGGAAGGTCGAAACAATAATTACCCGGGGTAGATATTAAAGGATATACGGTAAATTTACAATCTTCTCTGAAATAGAGAAAGGAAAATCTTATTGAACCCCTCCCAAATAATTAACTAAAGCATTCTAAATACGAAAACAAAATAAATAAAGATAAACTCTTCATAAATTATTATTAATTTTCAAAGCTACTTGGAAATAATAGGCACGTTCAGGGAGCAAAAAAGCATCAGCAACCTAATTGTTTTAAAGTTAATTTATAAATTAATTAAAATTACTTTCAATTTAGCTCTATGAGATAGCTGCACAAATTTGGTAAGGAAGGTACTTGGATCAGCATGCAAAAGAGCTTCAACAAGAACAAAAAAAGGTACTCCTCCAATGTTTAGTCTACATGATTTAAAATAATTTTTAATTAATTTTAAATAATTTTAAATTTATCTTATTAGCTATGTTTGTAAAAAAAGATAAAATTATATAAATATCAAGAAGGCGAAGGATTTTTTCTGTTTCGTAATCTGAAAGGTAATTCTTAAGCAGTTTAGTTATAAAATCCGAGTATGGCTATAATATTCCATATCTCAGGGCAATCTAATACATACTTTTCTCGAAAAATAATAAGATAAATTATCATTAACTCAAAAATATTTAATATTTAGTGTTTAGTGTGCCTATGTTAATATAAAATGTAGCTAGTGTGTGCTAGGGTCTACTACATAGTGATGTTCGAGACTCTCGGTCTTGGTTCAAGTTTCAGTCTCGGAGTTGATTCTCAGTCTCGGCTTTTTATAACTCTCGAACATCACTAGGGTTTATCAAGAATATAGTATAGTCTCGCCTATTCTATTGTTATTTTTGCATTGTATTTATTAGTTACCTCAAAACAACAGAATTTTCCTCTTCCCTAAATTCCGACGGTTGTTGGGGGATCCTCTCATTTTCCCTCTCTTCTGGTTTTTGTTTTATTTTTAAAGTTTTATTTCCATCGCTATTTTCAATTAATGGATCCTTCTCTAAATAATTCAAATTTTCATCTTCTTCAATTACCGCCAAATTTTGATGATTTTCTGATTTTGTTTGATTTTCTGATGTTGATAGATTCTGAATATTTTTTTGCTTAAAAAATTTTTTTTCATTCCCCTACCAAAAACGAGGAGGGATCGCCTTGCATCCAAATTTGGTCCAAAACTGTTCCATTTTGTCTTTCTGCGTGATTCATAGCATCCGTTTTTCTGATTGCCAGGGATCTCTTTTTCCTGTGTTGTTGCGCTGCAGCCATCATATTTCCAGAAATTCTGAGAACAAAAATTAATTTTTAAAAATTATTCTGATTTTTTAGTATTCATTTAAATGTTTTTCAATTTTTTAATTAAAATAATTTTTAAGGGAAAACATCGAAACAAACAATTGAAGCAAAAAGTAAATTAAAACAAACAAAAATCAGAAATTTATCTGAACATTAAAAAAACAAATAAACAGAACAAATCAGAAATAAATCTGAACATGAATAAACAAATAAACAGAAAAAATCAGAAATTAATCTGAACATGAATAAACAGAAATATTTAAATATAAATCAGAACAATTAATATTAAAGAAAACAAACATATCTGAAATCAGAATTTTATCCAAACTTGAAAACCAGAATTTTATTTGAACATTAAAAAGAAATAAGTAAAACAAACAATTAAACAAACATAGGAAAACAAAACAAACTAAACATACATATGAACAAACAAAAAATGTGAAACAAATATGAAACAAACAATTAATTTATGAACACGTGATAAACAATGTTTCAACAAAATAAATAAACATTTAAAAATACATAAACAAATTGAGATAACAAACAAACAGCATTGTTTGCGTCGAAGACGTCAAATATATTTATTCAACATTTTTTAAAATATACCAATATTTTATTAAATTCATTTATTTTGGCATAAATGAATAAAAAAGGCATTTATTTCTTTTTTTCAATTAAAAGCTAACACAAAAAACCCCAAAAAGACAACAAAAATAAACACAAAAAGAAATATAATAATTGACTAAAACCCCCAAAATTTTTTGTAAAGCTAAATTTAATTTAATAGAAGCTCCTTTTCTTTCTTTATTTTCTCCAGTTTTATTATTTTTAAATTTTATTTTAATTTTTTATTTTTTGTTCAAGTGAATGTTTAATTCATTCCTTGGAGCAGGCCAGTGTACCGCGAGCCCAATGTATCGCTGAGCTATAACTTTTTACAGAATTGTCGAATACGTGGCGCTTCGGTATGTTCGATTCAGCTGATCGAGCCGCATCCAACCATATCAGGGCGCCAAGGATACGACAATTTTGGACGTTATAGCTCGGCGGTACATTGGGCTCACGGTACATCGGGGTGTACCCCATAAGCTAATTCAAAGTCCCATAACTTTATGAAAAATAAACAGGATAAAATAAGCATGTAATCATTCGATGGAGAATTAAATTTACTACAAAATAAAATTTAAAAAAATTTTAGAGAAAAAATTAAAACAGTTGTGCCCAAAAATTCAACATTTTTGTCTATTTTTGAAGGTTTTTTGATCATAACTTTTCTGATTTTTAGAGTAAAATTTTAATTTAAATTTTATTTTATAGAAAATTTAATTATCTATCGAATAATACCAAAAAAATTGGAATAGGTGCATCAGAATCCAAGTTTTAAGCCCAAAATTCATCCCCTACTTAACTCAACTTAAGCAAACCCTCTTATAATTATTTCCATATAAATTTGTTTTAAACTTACGGTCTAAGCATAGAAGTAGCGCTAACACTTGCGCAACTCATTTTTAGAGCAATGTGCATACAATTAATAAATTTAAATTTTATATAATTTTTTGAAGACTTTAATTATAAATAATTTATTGAGAATTTTAAGAAAAAATCGGGAATCTCGTTATTAGTAACAGTAAGGGGAAAAATAAATAATAGATTAATATAAATTATATGCTTGGACTCTTTTAAAAGAAAGATGCAGTACCATCCGAAATGTCTTGGTAACGGAGTCGAGTGATACCCTCCTTTCGCGTTTTTAGATTAGTATTCCTTCTCAATTACCAAAAAATTATTATTTAATGTGGGGGTGAACGAAAATTATTGGAGGAGATCGTTGGAGCTTAAATCTTCAGGATCGGCTTTTTCCTGAATTGAGACTTTTGGAGTCTGGATTTATTCAAAAAAAGACGGAGTCCAAGTCCAAACCAAGTCCAAACTTAATATACTTCTGTTAGAAGCCTACCTCTAATATAAGCCCATCCGAGAAGACCCATTGAAAAATTTAAGCCCAGGGCTTATATTAGAATATTTACGGTATACATTTTCATAAAAGAATATTAAAAATTTAAAAATTCATAACTTCTTTTAATTAAGCAGAATAAAAAGGAAGTAAAAATTGACATTCTAAATACAAAGTTAATTTTGGTCTTTGAACAAGGCAGGGGAGGTTTTTATTTAATATAAAATTTCCTAAAAAGAAATAAAAGCAACAAAAAAATTTTTAAATCTTTTTAAAACTTTTTTCCTTTTATAAAATTATTAAAAGCAGCATGAAAAAATATGAAAAAATGAAAAGAAAGAAAAATAGGGGAGGGGATCACTTAAAGAATTTCAAATAATTTTAACCTCAAATTTAATAATTTTTTGAACAACTGACTTTTATTTTTTAGAATTTAATTTCAAAATAATAAAACACAATTTAAAGGGAAAAGTTGAATTATTTTTTGAAATTTTTTATTTTAAAATGTGTGGGAAAAACTTGAAGGCAGTCTATGTTTATGTGAACATGCTTTTTTTAAAAATTCATAACTTTTTAATAAATAAACTTTTTTTAAAGTTTTTGGTATCTTTCGATAGAGAATTTAATTTTCTATAAGATAAGACTAAAAATTTAATTTTAGGTTATTTTTTAATAAAAAGTTATAGTGATGTAAAGGATATAGCTATTTAATTCCTAAGGCTTTGCAGTAGGCGGCTGGTGTAATGGCTAACACATCAGTCCGGTTTACTGAAGATGCTGGTTCGCTCCCAGCCGCCGAATAACCTTTTGCTCTAGCTAAAGGAGAGAAATAGCTATACCCAGCTTTTTTACTGTGAAAATACATGCAAAAACTTAGCGTTTTCTCGAAAATAACTGTGAATTTCAAAGATAACTTTTTCTGGTAAACATTCAAAAATTCTGATTTTTATTTCATTTTATAACAAATTTAATTCTCTATCGACTGATATAAAAATGGAAGATAAAATTAGTTAATAAAAATTTCATTTTATTGACAAAAAATACGTGTATTTATTAAAATTGAGTGTTTATAAAATAAATATATTTTGTACTAATGGACTTTTTTCACACAAAAGCTTAAAACATTAAAAAAAAAGCAATGGCGCAAGTCCGTCTAAAAACAAAAATAAAGGGGTTTTTAATTCCGTTATAGAGAAAAGAGAGAAATGTAAGGTGAAAGGAACACATAAGTAGTGTGAAGGGAACATTATAATTAGTTTAGTTGAGTCTTTGGTTAATAATTCTAGAACAGATGGATATTTTAAAAATCTTTTTATTTCATTCGATAGAGGATTAAATTTGCTATGAAACATCAGAAAATCAGAAATTCAAATTAATTCTGAAAAATGTTATGCGCAAAAACAGACAAAAATAAGCACAAAAACGGGCATTTTTGTCGGTTTTTTGCTTACAACTTTTTTCTTATTTAATTCAAAATTTTAATTTCCTCTCTATTTTGTAGCAAATTTAATTCTCTATCGAATGATATTAAAATCTTTTTAAAAATTTCCAGCTATTCATGAGTTATTCACTCGGGACTCAACTAAGGTATGTTTGGATGTCGTGCCGAGTACAAATTAAAAAGGGAAAATGAAAAGGAGATAAATAACGAACATTTTTTTATTCAAACAAATTAAAATGTAAAAAGGGGGGAGAGACTTGGTGCACAAAGTGACGATATTTTTTTTAAATTAATCCTTTATTTTTTTAAGAATCGATAGAAAAATTATTTGAGTGAATATAGTTAATTACAAGGACATTTTCTATTGAAAATTGTTAAAAAAATATTTTCCGAAAAGCATAATTTCTTTTTATAATTTTTTTCCAGAAATTAAATTATGTATTTTTTAGGATAATACATTCTAATTATGAAAAAAGAAAGAGTTTAGCAAAAGCCTAGCCACCGGGGAGGACCTGTGATCTCCTCAAGTTATTACTAGCCGCCTTCGCTCACCACATACAGAAGCTTTACCGTTGAGCTACCGAGCATCGACTAATGCTTTATCTTTTACCTTTTTTAGATCGTTTAACCCCCGCCTAAGCGTTTTAAATGCTCTATCATCCTTACAAAAAAGAGAGTTCAGTTCCTATTAAAAAGTGTTCAGTCAGTAGAGCACCTACATGTGGTAAGAGAATAACTAGAAGGATGTCGAAGGGTCAATTCTTGGCAGGGGCTTAGCCTTTACCTCTCTTACTACATATATTATACATATTTTCAGGAAAATAAATTCAGGAATAGACATTTGTATTTCTCCAATTATACAATTATCCGGAATATGGTACTTTCCGGATTCTGGTTAGAAAGAGAGAAATAGTCTGTTTTAGGGGATAAAAATGAGAGAAATCTCGTCCATATACCCGCAATTTTCATCCCTAATTTATTAACATAAGCATATTTATATTTTTACATAAATTATATACAACAAAGAAAAATAAAATAATTTAAAAAATTTCAAGAATTTCTTTGGAATTTCCAAAAAAAATTTTTTTTATTTAAAAAACCCACAAATCAAGCAAACGGAAAGGAAGTCTAAAGACAGACAAAAAATTTTTTTTATAAATTTTAAAAATAAAAAAAATAAATGTTGGTTTAATACAAAGAAAATTTAAACTAGCGGAAAGATTAAAAAAGAGTAAAAAAAATTTTAAGAAAAAAATAAATTTTGTTTAGTAAAATTGAACTTGTTTTAAGGAAGGAATGCGTGGGAGAAAAATGGTTGGGTAAAAATATTTTTTGTTGAAAAATGGAATTTAAATTAAAATTTCAACATTTTTTCCTTTCAGAATTTAAAAATAACGCCAAAAAAATTTTTCTCAAAAAACCAAAAATTAATTTAATAATAGAGGCCTAGAGCCCTGAATTTTAGGAAAAAAATGAGAACGGGAAACAAGGGAATCCAAATAACACCAACGGCATTGGTTCCTAAAAGAGTCGAGAAGAGGGAGAAGCTTGAAAACTTATATTAATCTTTGGAATAAAATTCGGTAATCTTCTGCCTCGTTGGTCCCTAGAAAAAAATGTGGTAGAAGAGCTTTTTCGATATTTTTGAGGTCTGCCAGTAGGTAATCGAGTGTGCTGAGTCCGAATATGGGTTCGAATATGGTAGCACTTTTTCCTCATTTTTTTCTATAGATTAATGAAACAAAAGATTACCTAGAAAGTTCTGAGAGATTCACACAAATTCTAAATTTATTTAAATATATTTAAAGGAAACTTACTATAAAATTCAGCTGGCCACAAAAAAATAAATAAAGAAAATTTAATTTTGAGTTAACTTTAATTAATTAAATAAACGTATTTTATTTATTTATAAATATTTTTATTTTTAAAAATTAAAAAGTGCTTCACAGGAAAAAGAAGAAATTCGAGAAAATGAAGTGATTTACATTTCTTTTTAATTTTTTCTTCAAAAAATTTTTATTTCAAGTATTTTCAAATATTTACCTACACACATCCCCCCTCCCCTTTAAATTATTTACAAACACAATCAAGCTTTACCCAAAATATCGAAATAAAAAATTTTAAATAAGAAGATTCAACTGACATGCATTTAAATGAAAGGTGAAAGGATGATGAAGAATAACTGAAGTTGAAAGAATAACTGTACATAGTGAGCTTTGGCTTGGGGGAACGGATGCCATCCCTATGCTAACAATAAAACCTTTATCTCCTTTACATAAAATCTAAAGACAAAATTTTTTAAATATAAAGATCAGAATATTAACCAAAACAAAACTATTATCCAAAAAATTGATTCTAGGCAAAGAATGACCATTTGTACTTCAAGCACAACAAATCCAAATTCTATTAAATAATCATTTTATTCCTAACTTTTGACGGGAACATATCTAACAAAAGCTTTTATTGGACTAAAAAAATTCATTTATGACTTTCAATACGTTAGATACCCTCTGATTTTTGTCACCTAGCCACATTTAAAACGATTAGGCGGGGGTTAAACGATCTAAAGAGAATAGAGAAATCATTAGTCAATGCCCAGGTAGCTCAGTGGTAGAGAGCTACCGAACGATGCGGATGCCAACCCTTTACTGAACTTTTATCTACTTTACATATTTAAATCCTAAAAATAAAAAATTTTTTAATAGGAAAAAAATCAGAATATTAACCAAAACTATTATCCAAATAATTGATTCTAGGTCAAAAAATGACCATCTTTTCTTTAAGCACAATAAATTATAAATTTTATCAAACAATTATTTTATTCACAACTTATGCCGGGAACACATCTAACAACAACTTTTATTGGACTACAAAAACTCATTTATGACTTTTAATCATTTACCGTATTTTTCCTTATAGTGCGCCGGTCGGTTTATTTTTCAACCATCCTCTAGAGAGGGTGAAGGGAGTCAGTCTAATAGAGAGAGTCCTGCTCTGTAACTAAACATTTACTAAACTCCTACTCAAGTTTATCTATCTATATATTTTTTCAATCTTCGATCATCTGCCCTCAATAATTTTAAAAATACAGTTAATAAAAAATTATAAAAATAGATTTTAATTGTTGTTCATTCTCACAATTTATATTTACTTAAAATTTAATTGAAGAGGAGAGAAAAAACAATTTTTTAGGCTTAAAACAAATATATTTAATTCTAAAAATAGATTTATTTTAATTAAAAGTATTTGGACTTTTAATTTTTCCAAAAAATTTTTTCGAAATAAATTTTCGAAACAAATGAAAGGGACAATCTAAACGAATATAAAAATCTCATTTAATAATTTAATTTATTTTTTTATTTTTCTCCTCCTATTGGTTTGTAGTTAGCCTTGGTTTATCATCCAGTATTTGCTAAAAAAGATTTTTGATTATTTGATCTTTTTTGTAATTAGTTGAGGTAAGAAATGAATGTCTTGAGCCTTAAGCTTAAACCTAATTAAGAAATTAACAGCCAAGATGTCCCTAAATATATGGTCGGACCAGAGATGGTTTCGAACCGATGCCCTTCCAAAATTTTGGTTCCGAAACTTTAAAAATTAATTACCCCCACCCTCCTTGAAATTTTACCTATCTCCAGGCCGTTAGTATCTGTACGAATTGAGGAGTATAGGAGAGGAAGTAACCCAACACAATACAAGGACTTTTATCAACCCGAGACTGAATTTAAACCCACGCACCAATTTTTTGACCCGTTCCCGTCCTATACTAAACCGCAACCATGAACCGAGGATTTCTCAGTTTTTGAGTTCGGCTCCGAATATTCGAAGATTTTTCTAGAATTAAAAGCTCTCCAACTTACAAGGAAACATCGCATACTGTGTAAAAAATTTCGGTATTTTTTGGTACCAATCGATAGCTGCATCGAATGATACCAAAATCAACGCGATCGGACCTGTTTCGACAAAGTTATGACATAAAGTAAACCTCTGGGAGTACTGTAAGAGTCGGCGACTTATGTCATAACTTTGTCTAAACTTGATCAATCACTGTAATTTTGGTGGCATTCGACTCGGCACGACGAGCTCTTTCTAATGAGCTATCATTTGTATAAACTTTTTTTTACTCCAAAAAATCACCCCTGTGGTTTTTCAATATTTAGGGGTTTGTATCTCGGTTCAATCCTGACGGATTCCATTGATTTTGGTGTCATTCGACTCAACTGGCCATTTTGTACAAGGTTCGACAATGTTCGGGGTCAAAAATCCTGTTCGGGGGCAAAAGTCCGAATTCGGGTTCGGGTTTCGACTTTTTCAAAATCTGAGCTCGGATTCGTAATCAGCATATTTTTTTACCCTAGAAAAATCCTTTTTCTTATTTTTAAGATTTTTTCCCGCAGGGACCCCAATTCTCCGGGATTGCCGTTCCTTCTAAGGTTCTACTCCAATTTTCTAAAATAAAAATTTTTCTCAACTGTTTTTTGCCATCCATACAACATATGGTAAACAATATTTCTTAACCCCTTCAAATTAGCCCAGTGAATTTCCAAAGTTTCAGTTCTGTTGTTGTTTAAATTATTTAAATTATTAACTCCATAAATAAATTTTATTTGACAATACAACTGTTTTTCTTCCAAATTCCAAACAAGCCCAACTAAACAAAGGCCTTTTGGGGACACGAAACTTGAAGATTTATATAAATAGAGAGAAGAGGAAGAAATTTCTTTGGATTTGGAAATACCTGGAAAAATAAAAGGGAAAATATAGGATTTATTTTTAAGAAATGTTTTTGCGGACAAAATTTGCGGACAACTTTTGCGGACAAAATTTTTTTCAGTCCAAAATCAATTTTAATGTATAGCGAGCAGTAATACCAAGCCCCCTCCCTCCTAAAAAAAGTTGTAGAGATATTAGATTGTGGAACACGAATAACAGAGTTGTTCTATTAGCGGAGAAACTCCATAAAGGCTGACTCAAAATTTAACAATTTGATATTTATTTGGGGTTATGACGTCATTTAAAATTTGGTATTTCAACAGATTTTGGGAAGGTGATATTTCGGTGTTTTGATATTACGGCATGTCTCGCCCCGAAAGTGTCTCCTATAAAAATTCACGAAAATGTCCCATCCCGAGAATCGTTATATCCAAGAAATTGATATGCCTGTATTTAAGGGATTATTTTTCAGATTTGTTGGCCCTCGGGTGGGGGGGGCCACCTAAGCAATAACCCAAATTTAAATAACCCCTCTCATTAACTTTCTAAGGTATTTAAAAATTCGGTGTCCGATTTCAAATTTTTTGTCAGCATAAATTTGTCCTAAAAATTCAAAAAATTTTATCAAAAACCCTCCCAAACCTTTACACTTCTCAATTATTCCATGTATATTTTCATTACATTCATCAGTAAGAATATCCAGTGCTCTCAAAAACAGAAAAGCATCGTTTGAATATGAAAAAGTAAATCGTTTCGAAGATTTTTTGTCGGCTTTAAACTAAAATTTGAAAGAAAATTTAAATTGGGTAATTATACTAAACTTGCGGACAATTTTTGCGGATTTTAAAAAAGTAAAAGTTTGCCCCAAAAAATAGGATTAAATGATCACTACTCGCAAATAAATGTATTTTAAATAGATTAGAACTATAAAACACCTAAATCTTGATATTAAAAAATTTTTAGCTTTCCCGAGAAAAGTTAACAGAAGTTAATCTCCAAGGGGAAATCCATTCTAAAAATTTGGCAGTCAGAAAATCTTTGGTAGCACTTTCTAACGCACTTTTCCTAGCCTTTTTTATTGTTTTGTCATCCAATTAATTAATAAAAGGAAAGGGTAGAAGAATTAAAAAAATTTTTTAAGGAAGCCCTTAGAAAAATACAATTTAAAAAAAATCCGCAAAATGTGTCCGCAAAAAATACCAAATCTTTAAAAGTTTTCTTCCTTCAAAAATTCACCTAAAAATCAAGATAAAAATTAAAAAACCTTTGCCAAATGTAAATATCTTTCATTTTCCTCCTTAGCCCCAGTCGTTTTAACACATATTCGTTCAAAGTTGTCGATAGTCAATGGAAAAGTTATTGGGCCACGAATTAGCGAATGTTTATTTTTTGAGGCTGGAAAAAATTTTTTATACGAGAAAATTAAGTAGAATTATTTTAAAAATAATTTTTAGACAAAAAAAGTTAAAAATAAAAAGAAAAACCACGAACGGATTCGAACCTTCGACCCCCTTAGGGGAAAACTAAACACCTTCCCACTACACCAAAATTGCTCTTTTCAAGTTTTATTAATTTTTAGACAAACTTTTATTTTCTTTATTTTGTTCTTCTTCATTTTTAATTGAAGCATTTTTTGTTAATTTATTTTGTGAAGAAACTGGAATATTTTTGCCAACAAGTCTTGATGCTAATCTATAATTAATTTGTAGAAGGCGTTTAGCAGAAGTTAGGGATGAGGAAAACATTGAAAAAAGTCTGTTAAATTAGGAAATTAAACAAAAAATAAAATTTTAATGGGCAGTGAAAAAATTCAAGGACAAAATGTCATTTTAATTCATAACTTTGCAGACAAAATGCCAATAGGCGAAAAATTGACAAAATGTACATAAGGGCATATTTCGACAAAATGCCCATACGGCAAAAAAATAGACAAAATGCCACTAAGGATTGAAAAAATTTTTGGGTATTGGATAAAATTCTAAATTTAAAAACATCTTTTTTATTGCAAAAAGATTAGATACAACATACATATTTAAGATTTTTAAATAAACACAACAATAATTTCAACAAAAAATAAACATCCAATGAATCCTATTATTTACATATTTCTCTATCCCTTCCTTCTTTTCAGCCAGAACTCTCAGACCCACCACTAGTTTCACTTTCATTCGAACCAGCAGAAGTACTCGAAGCTTCTTCTGTGCTGTCGGACGATTTACTGTCTTCTGAAAAGGGGGAAATTAAAAAATCAGAGAAAAATTTTTTGAAAATCGGACCTCTCTATAGAACACACCCAATATAAGAACACCTCTATTTAAGAGACTTTTAAAATTTGGATAGCCCCTAGAGGGCCTATGTTGTGGAAGGTGTGCTTAGGGCAAAAATTTTTTTTAATTAAGCTGAACCTCATCATAAGTTAGGTAGTTTTTAAGCTGAAGGAGGTGCAAAAGTGCCAAAACCCCAAGCTTCACACAATTTTTCAGAACCCCCTACCGCTTCCTCCCGATGTAGTAGAAGTTTTCCCAGTTTCCGTAGTTCTCTTTGAAGTACTCGTCGTTGTCCCTTTCTTACTTGTTGTTGCTTTGGTAGAAGTCGCCGTTCTAGTGGATGTTGATTTTGCCGTTGATTCTTCTGAACTTTTTGTAGAAGGAAGCTTTGCAGATTTTTGAGACTTTGAAGTTCCCCTCTCCGATTCCTTTTGGGTTTTTTGTGATTTTGGGGGTCTACGAGAAGCTTGTTTGGCTGAGGGAAGGCTAAGACTTTTGGCTGTACGAACACTCAGGTCTCTTGCAGTTTTTGCACTTTCCGAGTACTCCACGTTGCTAAACTCGACGACGGTAGAGGAAGATGCCGATGCTGATTTGGGGGAGACCTTAAATGAAAAATCAGAATTTTGGTTTTTGACAGGAAAATCAGAATTCTTGGAAATCTGACCACACTTAAAGGTACCCCCAAAATTACAATCAATTCCAAGGGTTACCATATACCATAGTCTGACCACAAAACCTTACCGTAGCAACATCACACTTCTTCTCAAGATAACAGCAATAGGTAAGAACATAGACCAGAGCGTTCCTAAAATTCGTTAAAAAATTTTTTTGGCCCTAAAGAAAATTAAAACGCACATAGCAAGGTACATAGCAGCAGCAACACTCCAAACCTTCCATTCCCCAATAGTGTGCTGGGAGAAGTTTTGATCGAAGACTGGAATAATTTCTGATGGAGTAATGGCTGTTGTTGTAGTTGTTGTGGCGTTTGTTGTTGTAGTATGTTCTTTAGTAGAAGGAAGGAAACGTGGAACGGAACGTCCAAACACGGAACCAACAACAATAGACAGGAGAACAATTGCAACAAAGAAGCGATTATTGAGAAGAATTGTAGCCATTAGGTAGAAGAAAAGTGGAGAAAACACAAACTAGAGTTGAAGTTTTGAGAAATGTTTGAGAAGAAAATGTTTAGATGTTTCTGGTTTTTATAGTAAAAAATTTAAAACTGAAATAAACCAGAATTTTATCTGAACATTTAAAATCCTATTAAAAATAAAAAAATCAGAATTTAATACGAACTTTAAAATAAAAAATCAGAATTTAATACGAACTTTAAAATAAAATCAGAATTTAATACGAACTTTAAAATAAAATCAGAATTTAATACGAACTTTAAAATAAAAAATCAGAATTTAATACGAACTTTAAAATAAAATCAGAATTTAATACGAACTTTAAAATAAAATCAGAATTTAATACGAACTTTAAAATAAAAAATCAGAATTTAATACGAACTTTAAAATAAAATCAGAATTTAATACGAACTTTAAAATAAAATCAGAATTTAATACGAACTTTAAAATAAAAAATCAGAATTTAATACGAACTTTAAAATAAAATCAGAATTTAATACGAACTTTAAAATAAAATCAGAATTTAATACGAACTTTAAAATAAAATCAGAATTTAATACGAACTTTAAAATAAAAAATCAGAATTTAATACGAACTTTAAAATAAAATCAGAATTTAATACGAACTTTAAAATAAAATCAGAATTTAATACGAACTTTAAAATAAAAAATCAGAATTTAATACGAACTTTAAAATAAAATCAGAATTTAATACGAACTTTAAAATAAAATCAGAATTTAATACGAACTTTAAAATAAAATCAGAATTTAATACGAACTTTAAAATAAAATCAGAATTTAATACGAACTTTAAAATAAAATCAGAATTTAATACGAACTTTAAAATAAAATCAGAATTTAATACGAATTATAAGTTGTTGTGACAAAGGTTATTTGAAATGTTCAGATTTAATTCTGATGTTTTTATTATAAAATAATTATCTAAACTAATTATTTCGATGTTTGTAATTTTAATTTTTTATATTTTTTTCTCTCTAAATTATTTTTTTAAATTTATTTAAAATAAAAATTTTAAAATAAATCCATATCTCATGATTTAAATAAATAAAATATTAATTTCATTAATTCATGAGGCAATCACATGTTTGTAATTTTAGGGTTGGGGTCGTTTTGGCGCCGGGCCGTTTTGGCGCGAGAACAAAAAAGTGGCACTTAGGCGAGACCTAACTTCATAAAAATTTTCTCAAATTTCTTTAACATACTTGACTATCTGCTCCAGAAATTTCAGAACTTGTTATCAAATATTTCTGAAGTTATAGTAGATGGACCTCGAAAAATTGGGCATTTTTCAGAAAATCAACATTTTTGGCCACAATTTTCGAAATTCTTGATCAAAAATTCTAAAATTTTTGGAGAACTTAGATAAAGGTACGAGAGTTATTATTGCAAAATTTTATCATTTTTGATAACGAACTCGCTATCTTATAAGCTCGCGCTAAAACGGCCCCGCGCCAAAACGGCCCAGTCCCGTAATTTTAATCTAGAAAATATAATTTAAAATAATTTAAGCTAATTAAATATTAAATAAAAAATTAAGTAAATTTTTATTTATTAGTAAAAATTTTTTTTATTTACCTAAATTTTAAAAAATTATTTGAGTAAAAATTAAATACTTCATCCAAAAATTTTTTTATTAAAAATAATTTAATTTAAATAAGAAGTCTCTAAAGTTTTGATTCAAAATTACTTATTTTAATTATCACCATTTTGGAGATTGGGAGGGTTATTTCAAATATCCCCCATAGAATTCTTCGTTCTTAAAAATGACGATTAATAAAATTATATACTGTAATTTATTCTCTCTGTAATCCAGTAACATTCGGAGTATCTCCCGTTATTAGCAAATTACAAGGGCTATCGTTTTTTGTTAAGTTTTGACAAAAACGATAAGTTTTATGCAGGGTTGTACCGCGGCCCCGTACCTAGACCCAGTTCCAAACGATTTTTTTGCAATTATTTCCGACCTGAACTTCGCCCCGAAAAAAGTTATAATTTTATTAAACACCACAAATTTAATTGTAGTATATGTATAGGCTTCTATCCTGGACCTCTTAGCAGTTATTGCTACCACTTTAGATGCTCTACCGACTGATGTGAGCTACAAGGACTATGCTTTCACCTTCTCTTTTAATAGCCCGCCTAGCGAAAATGCCTGCCTAGTGAGCGTTTTAAATGATAGCCATCTGGATCTTTCTCGTCCTTACAATATTTAACTTATAAAATAGAGCTACTAAAAACAAAACTTATAAAACTTTCAGAAACCCAAAAAAATCTTTTCACTAAATAAATTTTCTACTCAAAAATCTTTTAAAATAAAAATTAAAATATTTTTTAAATTAAGATAAAATAATTTTTCTTTCTACATATATTTTTATAAAATTACAACAAAATTTACAAAAAAATGTCTTCATTCAACAATACTTTAATATTTTTTGTTTTTACAATTTTATTAATAATTAAATTAATAAAAAGTGATTGTATTAAATTAGGGGAGACTTTTCCCTGTGACAACACACAAAATATTCCTTGCTGTCGCGGCTTATATTGCCGACTTACAGCTGTCAAAAATATTAACCTTTATAGATGTTCTAAAGATAAATGTAATACTGATGGAATGGGGTGTAAAAGTGATAATGCTTGTTGTTATGGTACTAAATGTAAGGGAGGTAAATGTACAAAATGTGCTAAAGTTTATGAAAGTTGTGATATTGGTGAATGTTGTGAAGGAAGTTGTAGTATAACTGATAATATTTGCATTTAATTTATATAAAATGTCTGTCCTATTTTCCTCCTTAAATTTTATTTAATTTCTAAAAATTTGTAATTAATAAGGCTCGGATTTATAGGTAAGTTATAACAGTGAAATACCGTATTTACTCGATTAATTCCCCTCCCTCAAATATCCCCTCCCTCGAATAATTCCCCATGCTACGGATGAGTTGAAACAATACTTCCCTAGGGAATTAATCGAGTAAATACGGTAGGCGCCTAAAATAGGCACCAAAAAGGCCAATAAAGGCACAAAAATAGGCAGATTAAAAGGCATGCTAGACGTTTCAGACCAAGCTAAAAACACGTTTTTTGAACGTAATACCTCATGCCAGGCTTCCAGAAAATTTGCATTTGCCTATAAATCCGAGCCCTAGTAATTAATTATTATCGATACAAATGAATAACTTATGTTTCGGTTTCTTTCCTTTCGTGTTTCGTCAATATTGGCCGTATTCTAAGAATTTAATACTCTATTTCTATTTTCTTTTCATATAAATTTAACACAAATACAATGAATAAACTTTTCTCTTTTCAAATAAACTAAAAATTCTTTTTTGGTAAATGTCCAGACGCATGCTAACTACCGCAAATGAGTCCGCAAAGGGTCTTCTTTCCTTTAATCCCTTAAAATGTCGCTGCGGCCCTGGAAAGGTTCAGTGAATTGGGATAGATTTCGGAGAATCCGCCACTGAAAAATATACCTCGGTTTTGGTGTATAGTCACAATTTTTAGCGCCTGCGGCGCTAAAAGAGGAAGAAATCTTGCTCCTTGGTCTTTTAAAATTCTCATACCTATGGCTCGAAACGTATCTTTCGTTACTGAATCCCCTTCCTCAATGGAAGATGCACCGAAGTGTAAGACATAGTATGTGTGAAACTAGCAAGAAACGGCGGATTTTTTTCGAATTTTATTTTAATGTTGATATTTTTCTAGAATTATTTTAAAATTAAAACAATTTGTTAACAAAATTTTTATGAAGATATTTTCAAATGTTCAGATTTAATTCTGATGTTTTTATTACAAAATTTATTATTTACTAAGTTTTTTTGAAATTTGTTTTAATTTATTTCTGATTTTGTTTCTAATGCTTTTTGTTCACTTAATTTTGAGTATCTAAGTTCAGATTTAATTCTGATGTTTATAATTTACCTATGCATATTTTTAAACAAATTAGAAACAAAATGAGGATATTTTTGTCTAAATTAAGCTCTAATCGTTATTTTACAAAATTAAATAGAAAAATGCTAAAAATTCATAATAATTTTTAATAGAAAAAATTCACGAGTCCCTCTATAGCCCTCCATCCGAACCCACCGCTAGGAACATAGGTACGCCTATTTGCCGGGCCTGAGGCCACGCTAGACTTCTGCAATAGAAGCAAACAAACATACGTGTTCGGGAGTTTCTGTCCTGCAGCGCTAACAAGACTGTCCCTCCTTTTCTAGAGGGAAACGGCGGCAAGTAAACTCGCATAGTGTTTGTAATTTCTTTTATTTATATATAAATTGTGATTATTTTAAAATAATATTCGATGAGGTGTAATTTAGAATTAGTAAAAAGAAAAGGTATTATGTAGTTTTGATTTTTTAAATGTTTCCCAATTTATATATGTACATAAAACTGTTTGATTATTTGTTAAACTTACAATGATTTTATTTAGTCTAATTCTGCTATAATTCTGATTTTTTAATTATAATTGAACTTATTTAAAATGTTTTTTTAAATTTATTTCTGATTTGTTTTCACTAGCAATGTTTTTGTTCTGTTTAACTTCTATGCTTTTTGTTCATTTCAGAATTATTATATGTACATAGATTTGTTCAGATTTAATTCTGAATTAAAATCAAGAATTAACATTCAGAATTAAAATCCACAATTAAATCTGAACATATTCAGAATTAACAGAAAAACATAGTAAACCCCTTTTTAGATTAATTGTTTTTATTAATTTTTATTTCTAAAATGTTTATCAACATAAACATTTAATGGATGTTTTTAAATGTTCAGATTTAATTCTGATTTTTTAATACAAAATATAATACAATAAAATTAATTTTTATATTAATTTATAAAAATTAATTCGATTTTTCCGAGAAAGTTTAAGTAAATAAGTGATCATTGGCCCTTTTCCCTTTATATTAATTTCTCCTCTATAAATCCACTGATAATCTGATTTCTTTTTTGACAAAATTTGTTTAGTTTCTTCATTTACTTGAATATAGCCAATAACTCCTGAACTATCCATCTTTTTATTTAAAAAATGAATTTAATTAATTAAAAATTAAATTACTCGACTGGCAATATTAACAGAATTACCCCAAATATCATATTGAGGTTTTTGCCCTAAAACACCAGCAACAACTGGGCCGACATTTATACCTTAAATATATGAGAAATCAGAATACTTTAATCAGAATACTTTAATTTTTAGCAGGAAGCAGAATTTTTATCAGAATCGGAACCAGAATTTATCGAGAAAAATCAGAAACAAAATCAGAATTTTGGTTAGAAACAGAATCAGAATTCATGAAAAAATTCAGAATTTTTTCATAATTAAATATAAATCAGAAACAGAATTTATTCAGCAAATATTCTTATTCAGAAATTAAAATCAGAATTTATTACCTATACGAAGTTCAAAATTCTGAAACGAATCGATGTTTAGTTGATCCAATACAGAAGCCATTGCCTGTGCAAACTCGACAATCTAATAATTTTAAATTTAAATTAAAAACTTTTTTACCACAACAGCATTTCGTTCAGGCTATAATTAATTTAAAAAATAATGATTAAAAAATATTTATCTATTTTATAGTCTTACACTATTGTCGGCATTGTCGGAGTCAGTCAATCCTGCAGCTAAAAATTAATTTTTTATAAAATGAAATTTGGATTTTTATTTTTTTAATAAAAATAACGAAGAATAAAATTGCAACAAATTTTTAAAGTTTCAGAAATTTATTTCAAAAAATTCACCAGCCATATAAGTACTTGCAACAGTTTTAATTTTCTCAATGCAGCTAAACTTGGGCTTTGACAACAACTTATAAATTAAAAAACGTAAAGATAATTGCTCAGTTAATTCTATAATCACCTTATCAAACTCACAAACAATTTCATTTAATAATCTGAGACACTCCAATTTTCTAGTATGGTCACATTCACTCCAATACTCTTTAAAGTTGGGAATTGAAGCAAACATCTAAATAAAAGCAATAGAATGTTTTAATAAAATTCAGAAATTTTTTAATTGAAATTCTGAAATGTTCAACTAAAATTCTGAAATTCTTCAGAACAATTAAATGTTTGGATAAAATTCTGATATATAAAATAAACTTACAACACAAACATTATCATGATCGCGGGCATAAAGTTCCTAGAAAAACATGTTTTATAAAATTAAATGTTTCTAACAAACATCAGTGTTTCGATCGTGTGAGAGAAACTTGTGAGCAACAGTAGGAGGGAGAATGTTGTCAATTAATAACTAAAACATTAAAAACATAAACATTTGGGCTGTATCTGAAAGGAGTGCTCGGATCGAATTTTTCCTTACATTTTTCCTTACCTCGGAATGGAGTCAAATTTCCTTAGTATTTGATGTTTGTCATAAGGAAAAATTGTGTAAAAAGTATTTTTTTCTCTGCTTATTTTGTTGGGTGAGTAACAAAACTCAGTCTTACAAAACACGGTCGAGACAAAACTTGGAACGACCAAGTCGGTCTTACCAAAACTCGGTGCAATTTGTGTTGTTGTTTTTCCGTCCCGTTAGTTAGCCTGTCACGAAAATAAAAAATCAAAGATAACAGCACTCGTCCAAAAAGACCCCAAACAAAATAGACCGAGTTTTGGTAAGAACGACTTGGGCTTTCCAAGTTTGTCCGACCAAGTTTTGCCTCGACCGAGTTTTGTAAGAATGAGTTTTGTTACTCACCCAACAAAATAAGCAGAGAAAAAAATACTTTTTGCACAATTTTGCCCTGTGACAAACATCAAATACTAAGGAAAATTGGCCCCATTCCGAGGTAAGGAAAAATGTAAGGAAAAATTCGATCCGAGCACTCCTTGCAGATACGGTCAACATTTGAATAAACTTTGTTGTAATGGGAATAATTCTGATTTATTATTTAGACCAACATCTTCTTTGTTTTACCAATGTTTGAATTAAATTCTGATTTTTAATTTGAAAAAAAGTTTAAGTGTTTAGATAAAATTCTGATTGTTTAATTCTGGTAAAACAAATGTTTGAATTAAATTATGGTAAAACAAATGTTTGAATTAAATCAGAATTGTTTTCCACTAATGTTTTTATTAAACAAACAAACTCTATTAATATCTTGCATAAGTTGAACATCCCTTTCTTCATTTTTAAATGCAACATTACACGAAGCTTCAGATTTACGTTCATATTCAGTCTAAAAAATTGGAATTTTAAATTCTGATTAATAAAAACAAACAATTCGGGTAATAAATATTAAAAGGAGTAAAAGTGATATCATGTTGACAAAACTATGTAAAAATTATTTAAAAATTTTTTTCCGAATTTTTATTACCAAATAGTTATTTGACAGCTAATAATAGGTGCTGATTGCAATACATTAGAAACCGAGGTTGAGAAGAATACGAGTAATATAAGGAAGAAACCACAATCTAAAGACGCCAAAAAACATCTAAGTGAATAAGGAAGCCTTTAAAATTAATTGATAATTTGATAAATTTTATATAGAATTTTTGAACCTGTATAGAGCAAAAACTAGGCACATATGGCTAATGCATGCTTAAATGGGTGAATTTTAGTTTAAAAATAGTGGGTATGTTTGAATTTAATTCTGAATGTGTTAAACATTCATAAATTCTTTATGTTTAGATTTAATTCTGATGGTTTAATTAAATCAGAATTATTTAAAAACAACATTTATTAAACATTCAGAATAAGTTTAAATTTAATTCTGAATGTTCGAATTTAATTCTGAATAAATATTTTTTAAAATTTAATTCAGAATATGTTTGAATTTAATTCTGATGTTTAATCATGTTTAAATTTTTCAATTTAATTCAGAATGTGTTTGAATCTATTTCTGAAAATTCAGAATATGTTTAAATTTAATTCTGAATGTTTATTTTAATTCTAACAAATAGAAAACATGTTTATAATTCAAAACGAACATGGAAGCCAAAGAATAGAGAAAACAGGCAGTCTATGCCAAGTAACCGCTAATAAAACAAGGCATAACTATACAAAAAATTTTTCTAAATAAAAATTTTTAAATTTAAAAGCAACATGTTGCCCTATCGGTAAGAACATTGAAACAATAAATGCAGAAATTGTTAATAATAAATTTGCTGTTCGGCAAAGTGATTCTAGGGCACAAATAAACAATAAAATTCCTTAAAATATTAATAGAATTAAAAAAATAAATTTATTTACCAAGACAAACAAGAATTTGTCCAAAAACAACAGGTTGGACTTTTTGACTGAAACAATAAAGGAGAAATATTTCAGAATATTTTTAATAAAAATTCTGGTTTTATTTTCTCATTATTCTGATTTATTTTAAAGAAAGTTCAGATTTAATTCTGATGTTTTATTAACAATCAAAATTTCTTTATCTAATGTTTTCTAAATCAGAATTTTCATAATTCTGATGTTTTTATTAAAAAAATCAGAATTTTTTAAAAACAAAAAATAAACTAACGGAACATTCTGATAAACAATTAAATAATTAGCTATAGCTAAAGGAATTGAAAGAAAGAGAATAAGGCGGCATTCTGATTTAAGCGACACTTCTCGATTGAAAAAAGGCAAAAGAAGAGAAGGGGAAAGTTCACAACTTCCAGTTGTACAATGAAATAAAATGTTTAATCTATGGGAAAATAAAAACATTTATTCTTATTTAGACAGAAATTCTGGTTAATTTTTAACATGTTCAGATTTAATTCTGATGTTTTTATTGGTTACTGTTCAAATTTTATTCTGATTATTTATAATAACATGTTTAAATGTTCGGATTTAATTCTGAACATCAAGCCAAGTTCTATTAAAACATACTACCTTGTTGTAGGCAAACTACCCAAATTATTTTCTATTAAAGTAATGCTCACTCCATTTCTATTAACTTCGGAATAATCTACAAATCTATCTTTTCGTCGACGTTTTTCTGATTGTATTATGTTGTTGTTATTTATAGGTTTTGAAAATCCATTTAATTTTGGATTTTCATCATCAGAAATAATAATGCTTGGATTAACGATATTTTCAGTTCCTTAATTTTTTTTATAAAATTTCAAAAAAAATCTCGCGAGTTTTCTCGACTCAGCCCTCCATCCGAATCCTTACTACCGCTAGGGAGAACATAAGGTCAAGCACACAGACAAGTAATTACCTTGCCAATAGCGACCTATCCGTTTACCTCTGAAAAGACTTAGTCCCTTCACCTTTCCACTATGGAAAGGACAACGAAGTGTGAGGACAACATGTTCAGGAGTTACAGTCAAGTTCGCGACCTCGTCCGTTACTCCGCTCCTAGCAGGAAACGGCAGCCAGTCAACTCGCACATTTTCCTACCCATTTTTCTTTGGTTATAAATAAACTGTAATTATTCTAAAATAATATTCAATGTGGTGTAATTTAGGATGAGTAAGAGAAGAAATAAATAAACGATAAATTTTTTCTCTAATTTTTATTAAGCCAATTTGAGTTAAATTTTTAATCGTATACGACGTTCTTTATGAATTTGTGGTAATTTATTTCTGATTTTGTTTTTACTATTCATGTTTTTCTGATATTTTTAAATTCTGTCTCATAATGTTTTTATTTAATTCTGACCTTTAATGTTATTTAATTTTGATTTTTAATGGTTTTTATTTAATTCTGATTCTTAATGGTTTTGTTTAATTCTGATTTTTGTTCTTAATAATTAAAATGTTTTGGTTTTCATGTTTTTTTTATTTTGTTTTGCTGTTCTGGTTATATTTGATTAATTCTGGTTTAAACATGTTTTTATTTAATTCTGATTTTTTATAAAACATATAAAACATTAAAACATTTACCTTTATTTGTTTGTTGTGATGTTTGTAGTTTAACAGAACCTCTTGTTCTAATATTTGTTTTTTTTGTTTCAGAACAAGAAACATTATTATTCTGAAAATCCTCGTTGTTTGTTTTGTTGTTAACTATTAAATGTTTTTATTTAATTCTGATTTTTATCTAATGTTTTTCTGGTTTTTATTTGTTTTTAAAATTGTTTTGCTTCCACTAAATTAATAAAATTGTTTATCCACCTGTATATCCACTTTGTTTATTTTCTCTATTTTTATCATTTAATTCATTTCTAAATTTTCTTTTAACATTGGGTGTTGTAGATAAGGGTCCAAGTACCCTAGTTTGTTCCCCCCAATATTCCGCCATTTTAACACCTTTAGCTTTCATAGAAATAGCTCTGTGGTGTCTAGTAAAATCATCACGTGTTGGAAGGAGGTGATTTTCATCAAAATTATTTTTGGCTTGGATTTGAGATAAATTACATTCTGAGGGGCTAAAAATTATTAAAAAAAATAAAAAAATTTTCAGAATTTTTTCCCAAATTTTTTTCTCAAAAAAATTCAAATTTACTAGCCTTTTATTTATACAAATATTCGAAGGCCTCTCAAAATCATTATAATAATTATCAGGCAAAATAAAATAAGTTTTGTGTTTATTGGCTGAAATTAGAAATTTATACAAATCAGAATTTTAAACAAACATTTAAATATTTGTTCATCCAAAGGGGGCGCTTCAAGTATATTATATTTGTCTATAAGGCTGTCTTTTGTTTTGTTGCTGATATGTAAAGCTCTAAATTTTTCGAAAAAATTTTCAAAAAAATTTTTTTTATCAAAAACCCAGGTTTCCCAGTTGTCTCCATTTGATTAGCTAAAGTAACATCATCAGACCAGACGTCAAACTGCCATTTACGTAAACCCAAAATTCCACATAGAACAGAGCCACTATGTACTCCAATTCTCATATCCACATTAACTCCTGTAGCTAATCTAACTTGTCTTATTGTTTTTATCATCTCCAGGCCTTAAATAATTACAAATATTTTAAGGCTGAAGTCTTGAAATTGAGTAAATGCTCGATTAATTACTCTCTCTCAAATAATTACCCTCAATAATTACCACCTCATTTTCTTACACAAATCTTAGGTATATTTAAAAAATAATTGTCAATTTTAATCATTGAAACAGTTTATTGATAAATATAAAAAATAAATTTATTTTCTCCCAGATTTATTGAGATATACCCTAAATTTAGCACCTGCTCTTATAATTACCCCCTCCAATGAGAGGTTGAAACAATAATTGACCAGGGTAATTATTCGAGCATTAAAAGTGGACGGTTTGAAGGATAAATATTTGAATTTTTGAAGTAAAACTAAAATTTTGTATTTTTCGAAATTTTCGAAAATTTTCAGAAATTTTGGCATTTATAAATAATTTTAAGAAAAAATCTCCAACCCATAAGAACACACATATCCGCATGATTAGGCCTATTAACAGGCATACCGCTAACACAATAATAACAATCACCAAGAAATTTAATTCTCATACAACTTAATTTCTTTAAACAAAAATTTAAAATTAATTTAAGTTTCTTTCAAAATTTGCCTGGGCATCCGCATCGAATTTACTGTAAAGTTCATTTAAAGTTTTAACTAAATCTTTAGCTACAAGTTGGGCAGCTAATTGAGTAAAATTAACAATATCAGCAAATAAAATGGAAACATTGTCGTGAACCTTTAATTAAATTATTTTTGGTATTTGAGTATTTTGAGAGATTTTTTTGGATAATTTCCTGTTCTGAGGAATTTTTAATTTCATTTAAGTTTATTTTTGAGTTAGTAGTCAGAGAAACTTTTTTATTCTCAGTCTTTTAAAATAGGTAAATATTATATCACACGAAAGCTTATTAAATGGAGATTATTTTAACTAACAAGGTTTTTCTGTCCATATGTATCCTTAAATAAAATGTTGCAGCAAAAAGAGTGCGCCAATCGTGGTTTTCTGTCATTATCCAGCTCTAACTTTTTTTGACTCTGATCAGACAGCCTTGTTAGGTAAAATAATCTACACTTAAAGAGCTTCCGAATAATATAATACTTATTGAGATCAAGATTGAATTTAAAAAGTTGTGGTATAGAAAATGTTCGTGGGCCCTTGATGAGACCTTTATTCACGTTTATTTTGTAGATTCTTTAAAAATATTTTCTTTTACCTGGACATGTAACTCATGAAATAACTTCATTTGTGTAGTTCCCTGTTTGCTAAAATCAGCAGCTGAGGAAGTAGCAAAAATTGACTTGCTAACTTTATCAGTTAAATAAGGGGGAATTACACTTAATAATAATTGGTCCTGTGTTTAAAAATTTATTTTAATTAATTTTTATTCCAATAAACAGTCTGAGCTTACTATAAAATATACCTTGGGGTTTTAAATTATAAATCCTATAGTGAGATACTTCCTAAATTTGGGGTTTAGTTTAAGCAAATCCTCCACACAGCGACCAACTAAATTTAAAAATAATATCTTAAATGGAGACGTATTCAGTATTGGGGTTATCTTACAGTGAGGGCGGACTGCAGTGGAGCCTCACTTGTAACTTGGCGGATCCGGGTATCCGAATCCGAAAAGAGACCGAATATCAGGAAATCTTCAGTTCGGATATTGGATCCGGATATCCTTAAATTTTCCAGGATCCGCCGACCTTACTCACTTGTAGAAACATCCAATAATAGATAAATCTCTATTTCGGATGTTTTTTAATTTGGTTGGTCACTATGTGGGAGGCTAAGTCCCGATACCATCTATTTAGTATACACCTCATTATAAGATAATATTTTTTAAACTCTTTGGGGGTATCTAAAAGGGATGTCAGACTTCCCTTCATCCACCTGTCTATTTTTAAGTTGTTCAAGTTCATCCCTCCTTTGAATTGCTTCAGTTAGTTTCTGTGCTATAGCTTGTCTGCTACTTGCAGAATTTGAATCACAAATAATTCCAACAATCAAAACAATTAATTGATAAATAAAGAGAGGAATAACTGCAAGTATTGGGGATTCTGAGAAAGCTAGTTGATCATTATAAATATATAAAAATATTCCAATAATTAAAGTATTGCAAATAATAAATCCAAGGGAGAGAAAAGTGAATAAACGCCTGTGGCGAGGCAAAACAAAAAATTGATAGAGGGTGCAAATTGCTAATGAGGACGATAATGAAGCTAAAAATTAAGCTTTATTTTTAAATTGGCCAAGTTTTATTTAAAGTTTATTTATTTCTTGAGAAAATTTCAAAATAAATTAAATAACCCTCCTATAGAGGTCATCGTTCAGACTATTTCAAAAAATCATAACTCGAGAAAGCTTGAACCTTTTGGAAAGATTTTACTATCATTCGATAGAGAATTAAATTTGCTATAAAATAAAATAAAAAACAAAATTATTGATAATTAATGAAAAAAATTATGACGGAAAAATCATCTAAAATGATGATTTTAGCTAAAAATGTTAGATTTTATTAACCAGAAAATTTTTAAATTTTCGGAATAAAAGTGAGCTTCTAACAAAGGAGAGTGCCTGAGGTGGATGCGGGACTTCGGGATGAAATTTTGCAAACAGGTAGATCATACCCTAATATAGTCATACCCAACTTAGTTTCCGCTAAATGGTACCGTGGGCCAAGTTATAAGCACCCAAAATTTTAGGGTCACCTCTTATGAACAATTTTTATTCAGTCATAAATGTGTCCGTCGGTGGTGCGGTGGTAGCGTTCTTGGATTTAATTTTTTCCCCCCAGGTTCGAATCCTGATTGGTGAAATTAATTTATTTTAACATAATTTTTGTTTTTTTTTGAAAATTTTGGTTTTAAAATTTTTTAAAAACTTTCTAAATTTTTTTTGAAACTTTTATAAAAAATTTTTAAATATTTATTCCTTGTATTTTAAAGCCCTCGACTTATTCATTTCTTGTGTTCATTCAAAATGTTTTTTCAAAAAATTTTAAGAAAGTTTCAAAAAAATTTAGGAAATTTTTAAAAAAATTTTAAAACCAAAATTTTCAAAAAAAAACGAAAATTATGTTGAAATAAATTAATTTAACCAATCAGGCTTCGAACGAAGGGGAAAAAATAGAATTCAAGAACGCTACCACTGCACCACCGACGAACACAATATTAATTAAAAAGAAAATGTTTATAGATGGAAAAGAAAACAGTGGTGGACCCTAAAATTTTGGGTGCTTATAACTTGGCCCACAGTACCATTTAGCGGAAAAGATGCTAGGGTATACTATATTAGGGTATGTTCAACCTTTCCACCAAATTTCATCCCGAAGTCCCGCATCCACCTCAGGCACTCTCCTTTGTAAGACAATTATGCAACCAATTTAATTCTCTATCAATAGCCACCAAAATCCTTACAAAATATTAGGTGAATCCCGAGTTATGAATTTTATTAAGTGCCGAGGTGGGCTTCAACAACATACCTAGTTCAGCTATTCTTTCTTGTTTAACTCGAAATTCAGAAATTAGCGGCAAGTGAATGAGCCATAAAAATACTGGAAATGAGACAGACGAAATCTGAGAAAAATTATTTTCATATAAAAAGTCTAGGTAGTATTTATATTTAAGTTAGTGACACTCATGGGTAACGACTCGAGGAGTAATATACTTATGAGTTTTTTAGAAACTTTTTTAAAAAGACTGGACATAAATAAAGTAAGCTCATTGTCTCTAAGTCGCTAATAAAGAGAGTCGATAATAACGAGAGTTTTTTAGAATTTATTCTCGATATTCACCAAGGCTTCTAAAATTTAATTTCTTCAAAAACCAACCAAAGAAAACCACCGTAGTCTTTTCCTAGAAAATTCCAACCGTCCATAACGTATCAACACAATAGAAGCCAAAACTAAAGCTGGGAATATCGCACAAAAGAAAACATAAATAAAGGACCAAACACGGTGGCATAAATAGTGAAATAAAAAAATTTGTGCCAAAGAATAAACAAATAGCCAAAAATGGAAAGTATGCAGTCTGGCACGGTCTAACCAAGTCCAGTGGCGTAAAAGTGCAGAACGGACTTGTTGACGTTGTTGCTGTTCTTCATCTATTAAGGTTGTTGTACTCATGGCTGAAGGCGTTGAATGGAAGGATGGGTGATGGTTGGAGACTTAAATTGAAGGGAAAGAAATTATTTTGTAATGGGAAGGCGATATGTATATCTAATGTACGGTAGAATTATTTTTTCGGAGATAAAATGAATTTCGGATCCGGTTTCCGGATTCGATCTCGCGCTGGTCAGTAATTACCCTTTCAGTTACACTATATTCAAAACGGCATAACCGATTTTTATGATCTTGATATCTTTCAATAAAGAATTAATTTTCTATATTAATACTTTAAAAATAATTTTAAAATGAAAAAATAAAAATGTTAAATATTTTCCTCAATAAAGGTGTGAGGAGGTTTTCCCACCATAAAGAAATTTTTAATTTTTACTTCAAGCTAACCAAATTTAATTCTTTATCGAAAAATAACTAAACTAATTTTGAAGTCTTAGAAATTCAAAATTCTATTTTAAATCATTTTTAAATCCTCCTATCGCCTTTTAGACAAGAATTAAATATTATCAGTCATGGGATCAGTCTGAACATCTCTCAGTTATACAACTAACAAATAAGTTATATAGGTAAAGGATTGAGACTTGAAAGCTGCTTATAGAATATATGTATTTGACAGGGATGTGTCGAAACAGATTTCAAAAGCGAAACTAATTTTACCCCTGATACTTAATTTTATATTTCCGATATAATAATTTTCTTAAATTAAAAAACAAGGTTGCACTTTCATTTCAAAGAATACATATTTGTACTTTTATTATTGAAAAAATATTAAAAAAAGGTTGAGAAATTGTCCTTTGAGATTTTTTAATTTTGTCTGAGAGCTTCATTGCCTTGATTAAATCATTTTTAAAATGACAATATTATTAATATATGACAATATTATATTTAAATATGACAATATTATTATTAAATTAAATAATTTCTCACTGCTCTATACATAAATTTAATTTTTTAAATTTAATTTTAAAATTAATTTAAGATGAAACTTAAAAGTGTTTTAATCTTTTTAATCTTCAATGCGATATTATGGAGTTTGATTAATTCTGTTAAGGATAATAAAGTTCAAAAGGAGTTAAACAAAGTTGGGGAAGCATCGAGGAACGTAAACAAAAATTCAACTAAGGAGGCTGAATCTTCGGTAGATCCTCAGATTCAAAAATCTAATGAGACGTCTAAAAATACAGAGGACACAACTGAAAGTAATGAAAAAAAATCAGATAGAAAAAAATATTTTAAAATCTACCGCCAAAATAATAGAGAAAAGATTAATGCATATAATCGGGATTATAAGAATAAGAATAGAGAAAAGATCCGAGAAAATGCGAAGAATATTCATAAGAAAAATAGAGAAAATGCTATCTTTGTCCAGAAGAGAAAAGAATATAATAAAAAGTATAATAAAATATACTATCAAAATAATAAGGAAAAGTTGCTACAAAATCAACAAAAATACCGACAAAAAAAGAAAAATGAAAAAGAAATTGAGGAAAGTTCAAAGTTAGGAAACTTAGAATCTGCTAATAATGAAGGAACTTCAATTGTTAATCCACAGATTGATGATTTTAGGAATAAAGGAAAAGAACCTATTGTTTCCGAAGAGAACTTAGATTCTGAAGAAGGAAATCATTTTAATCAAGGTGGGGAGGAGGAATTAGAAGAAATCGAAGCAGAAACTAATTTGCATGATTTAAATGAAATCGTGGTAGATGAGCCAAACAACATTCACGAAAATGATCTGGATCAGATAAATCTAAATAAAAATAATTACCGTTTTGATCTGAATGAGAAACCCGAGGATGAATAAGAGGGCGATTGATAAGAAAAAATTTTTTGTAAAAGAAGTTTCAAAATTAAATTAAAAATTAAGAATTAAATATTCCGTAATTTTAGTCATGAATTCATTTTATAATTTATGTCTATTTATATTTTAAATATAAAATGCTAAAATAAATTTTCCTTTCAATAAAACTTGTTTATTAAATATTTATTATAGTTCTGGCCCTTTAACTCAACGAGAGGTTGACTTCTTATTAAAATAACCACTGATCATAGCTTTAAATCCAAGGATTTACTTAAGAACCTAAAAAGAATGAAAAATATTTTTTGAGCGAAGGGACATGCATGTAGTACCTAATTTCCGGCAAAATCATTATTCCGGACGAAGAAACAAATTTTAAATCATGTTTCATGATTCGATTAGTGCCGTATATTAGTATTACACAATCGTGACACGCTAAATATAATAATAGAAATTAGTTCTAATAGAAAATCAGTTCTTTTACTACATAATTTTTTATCAACATTGATAAATTTTTAATTCAAAATTCTTTTTTAACAAACTTAAATCCTCCCATCGAATTTTATAAAAGTTTCTATTTAAGCATAGTCTAGAGAATTCTCTCACCTATCTAATCCCTCAGTTATCCAACCGAGATATGTGAGAGATTGAGATATTTAGGATTATCTGGGAACGTAGGATACTTAAGAGCTTACCTAGGTGTTTTTATTTCCCTTAGAACAATTAAATTTAAATTTCTTTTATTTTCTTAAAATTTAAAAAATTTAAAGTGCACTTTCCTTTCAAGTAATATTTGCACTTTTATTATAAAAATATCTTGAAAAAGGTTGAGAAACTGGCCTGTGAAAATTTTGAAATTTACCGCCATTAATTGAGAAATATTTAGAATCTCTAGCTTCATGTCTTGCCATATTATTAATAATTTTTTGGCTTTGAACTTTGTAAAGTCTTTAAACTTACCTATTTTTTGCCCTATCCTACTCTCTACTTCGTGGGACGGGTAAAAGAAAATTACATTAAGTGTCTGTCATTAATTGAGAAATATTTTGACCTTACACCATTAATGTCTTTAAAATTCAGTAATATTATTAAAGACATTCTTACTTTAAATTTTATTCCTCTCAAATTAAATTTTAAATAAATTTATTATTTCTCACTATAAATAAAATTTCGGATGAAACTTGAATATGTTTTAATCTTTTTAATTTTCAATGCGATATTATGGAGTTTAATTAATTCTGTCAAAAATAATAAAGGTGGAAAAGAGTTAAATAGAGTTGGGGAAACTTCAAAGAATAAACATGAATATTCAACTGATAGGGCTGAATCCTCAGTCAATCCTCAATTTCAAAAATCTCATGAAACGTCTAAAAATGCAGAAGATGACACAACTGGAAATAATAAAAAAAAGTTGAATAGAAGAGAATATCTCAAAGTTTATCGACAAAATAATAGGGAAAAGTTTATGGGATATCAGCAAAAGTATAGAAATAATAATAAAGAAAAGATTCGAAATTCTAAGCAAAAATATTATGAAAATAATAAAGAAAAGGTAAGAGAACATAACAGAAAATACTATCAAAAAATGAAAAATAAAAATGAAATTGAGGAAAGTTCAAAATTAGGAAACCTAGAATCTTCTAATAATGAAGGAACTTCAATTGTTAATCCACAGATAAAAGATTTTAGAAATAAAGGAAAAGAACAAATTGTTTCCGAAGAGAGTTCAGATACTGAAGAAGGAAATCTTTTTAATCAGGGATGTTACGACTCCGGTTACGTAGAGGAAGCTAACAGAAACGTTTATTGCACAAAGAAATACAAAGCAGGCGAAGGTTGGGGTAGGGAGAAGAACTAAAACTGAGACCACGAACTAACTATTGGCTGGGCTTTTATACTAACACTTTAAGGGCTGACGCCCATACTCAACACCTCCCCCCTTGAAAAAAAGGTTCGGCTTCACTAAAAGCCGAAGCTTTACAATATACTTACACTTTCCAGCCAAAAAATACATACATTAATTTTGGGGGATAAGGACAATGGGAACAAAAAATACATACGACATTACAAAAACGTAAAAAAAATACAACAATAATATTATCACAAAATTTCATATATGTGGCTCATCTACATCTCCATATTATTATCGTCTTCAACATCTTTCATCTTTGTCTTGTTCCCACTTGTCTCACTAATTTCACTGGATAATTTATAGCCTCTTCAGCATACTTTTTTACACTTTCCTTAGTGAGCACTAATTTTTGAGGCTGTCTAATATTTTCTCTCAAACCATATTTATGTGGTTTATCAACTTTTCTCAATCCACTATCACTTATACTTTCACTTTTCCACAAATTATTACAATCTTCACTTAAGCTTCTATTTCTAATTTGATTTTCGTGCCGAGTTACTACGGCATTTAACACTGGCGAGTATATCTTATAGATAACTCCCCTTTTACTTTCCACTTCACCATTCAACCAATTAATTTTACCATCTTTTCGGTAATTTAAGAAATACACTAACTTACCGATTTTTCGGTTTTTTACTCCATGGTGTTTATCAAACCAACTTTTCATTTTCACTTGTTGAGGTGTTATCACTTTATTTTCTTGGAAGGTCACTTTTTTTGGTATTAACCTCGCTAAATTCAATCGCAATTTTCTTCCAAGAAACACTTCACTAGGGGATTTCCCTTCCAATGATTCATGAGGACTGGCTCTATAAAACAATAACACTTCACTGAGCCAATTCTTCTTATTACAATTTTTTGTCATCATTCTTTTAAAATAATCCACAAATCGTTCCACTTGCCCATTGGATTGTGGATGATACGGGGCACTAAACACTTGACTAATTCCCTTATTTTGACAATATACTTTAAACTCATTTGAACGGAATGGGCTTCCGTTATCAGACACTATTGTTTCTGGGTACCCGTAATGGGTTCCCAACCACTCAAAACACTTTATAACATCTTTTGCTGAGGTCGTCATGTTTTCGAACACTTCAGGCCACTTTGAATGGGCATCAATTACAATAAAATACACTTTTCCGTCTTTACACGGCCCAGCAAAATCAATATGCACTCTTTCCCAATTTCTATTTGTATTTGGCCATGGTCGTAACTCACTTTTAATTGGTCTTTTTGCCGCTGCTTGGCACATTATACAATTTGCGACCCAATCTTCAATATCTCTACTAATATTTGGCCAATACATATACTCCCGGGCAACTCCTTT